GTGCTGTTGGGAGTAAAAGAATTTTGCCTCACATTCAGGGGATGAGTTGAGACCAAAGTGCAATATACAGATTTTACTTCTGACATTCAGTAGTCATGTAAAAGATAGTCAAATTGCTCTATGAGGGGTTTTGGTTTGGATTTTTCTATGTAATGCCTAAGAGCAATCAGTCATAGCTGAGAACTCCGGACTCCACAGAAAGGACAGAGATGATCTGCTAGCATCCCTTCAGTCAAAATTGAAAGACAAGCATGAAGAACTTACCCTCCAAGATCTTTATTGATGCTTTTATAGCATTTAGATCAGACAGTTTAGAAATTTACAATTAATTTTGTGTGAGCACTGTAATGCCAATAATTGAAACACCAAAGAAACTGTCTCCCAGCTTGGCACTTTGTTAAAATAGCCAATTCTTTTCCAGGAGGTACCATAATCAAGCGTTATTTGGCAGAACAAAGGTGAATGTTTCCACTTCTCTAGGACCAGACAAACTAGAGTTTGCAGTGTTAAATAGTTTTTGCAAATGCAGTTCAAAAGGTCTGAAAAAAAAGACTTTTTTTTCAGAGGAACTTCTCTCTTCCTTTACAAACCACATTTCAACAGAAAGACATCTAATGTTGGTTAAGGACCTCTTTCATTCATTTGTGGTCTGTGATTCTGTGGAGGGTAGCAGTCTTCAAATCTCATTCTTGTAGTAAGATGAAACCATTTTGGTGAAAGTGTGACCTCCTGATTTCCACGTGGGCTATCTAGGAAGACAGCATGGGACAACTCACATAGGACGTGATACCGGGAAACCTGTAGTCCAACCAGCAGCACATGACTAGATCAGCCATGGCGTCAAGCCAGATTGCTCAGGGCTCTATCCAGTCTTGTCTTGAAAACCTCAAGCTCTTGAAAGCCTGTAAAACTGGGTGTACCTCACTCTAAGATATAAATTCATCATATAATAGCATGAGTACTCACACAAATCCTGCTCACTCAGAGACAGAGCAGAGGGAGTAAGGGAAGTGGAGTTAATCTTAACTGAGTAGTAACTGTCATATGAAGAATATTTTAGAATTGAGGTAAGATAATGCACCAAACTTCAGTATAAAAATAAAATTGGCGGCTACTGTTTCTGGCCATCTAGAAATGGAAACCCGTTAGGATAAAATACCTTCACAGTAAACTCATCGAAGAGTTTAAGACAAGTTTTTAGAGACTTCTTAAAAACAAAACTTTGTAATAGCTGAAGAACAACAGACACTTTGAATTGCCTACTATTTTTGAATGAGCACACAACTTGTTTAGAAAGGCTTTGATAATTACCCCAGCATTCCAGTTACTGAGCAAATGAATTTTATACCTAGTTGCTAGCAGTTTTTTTAAAGAACAAAGCAGATGCCCCATAGCAATGCTTGATAGAGGCAAATGTTAGCCTCCTAACTGAGGAAAGGAGAATGTTGTAGGTGGTGCATTTCTAGCTAATTAGCTGAAAATTAAAAAAGCTCAAGGAAATAAAATGAAACTACTTGCTGAATGGTTTATACCCTGGAGTAAAAGACACCTTCATAATGATAAAATGTTTTTAATCACCAAAGGTTTGTCTAATTGGCTCTATATTGATATACAGCACACAGCACTGAAACTGCGCCAGTATGGCCCGTCCCAAAATTCAGTGCAGTAAACAATAATGGACCTGGAATTAATTTGGCTAATCTAAAAAATCCTCTGAAGGTCTAATCCTTCCTCTTTGGAAGAAGATCAGGCCAAACAGGCATAGTTTTACCACAGCTGCTACTTGAAACATGGGTTTTATATTAAATTTATTTTACAACATGAGAATACCAATTTCTGACTCCTTGAAATATGTATATCTGTGTAGGCAGCTGAGCAGTAAACTTTGAAAAATGTCAAATGGAAACTGAGGCTGGGTGCAAAGTTCAGCAAGGGAGAGGAGTTTCTTAACAGCTCGGAGCAATGATATATGTGGTTTCTGTCCAATGGTCTGAGCACCCACAGGGGATTTAGGGACCTTGTACTGCATGCACTAGCAGTCCACAAAGAAGCAGCACTGAGTGTGTTACTGTGACCTACCCTCCACACCCAACTTTCCTCCATGGCTGTCCCTGAAAATCTACACAGGAAACATGCAAAGAGCCAAAATTAATCTTACTGTAGACTAAAGATGACTTTATTTCAGCTAATTGACCTCTGATTTTTGGCAGGTTTCAGTTTCAATTCATGACTTATTATCTTTCTTCTCTAAATGCCCTGGCCCTCCTGCTTCTGTGAGAAGGCACCACCACCCGGCTGCTGTCCCCCTGCTTTCAGATGATGGTGCTGCTACTTTAACTATTGAGCTGCCTGTCTACCAAAATTCACAGGAAACATGCAGAAACCTGCCAAGAATAGGGTTTCTGATGTAGGCGCTGGCTTCGCACCAGCCCTGCTGACACAGACAGACTGCCGTCACCCTTTTGTAATTTGTTTCTTTTTTGCTACCTGTCAAACTTCAGAAGGTGCCGGTTACATTTACGTAGTTGATGAGCTTCCTAATCCAGTGTCTAGTTTCACCTGCATATTGAATTTTTAATCTTTAATCTAGTAAAGATTCTTATATCCAGAGCTGCAGTATGCCCTCTGCACTGGAAGAGTCTGTGGTGGAACAAGTATTATATAAGCTAAACACATTGGTCTGGTTTTTTGGATTTTTTTTTAATTGTAGAACAAGACTTGGCTTTATCTCAAAGCAATTAGTTTATTCCTTTAAATTAAGAAAAATAAAAATCAAGACATCTGATCTTTTCAGTGTTATACATAACTTTAATTGGTTGATAGGTACAATCTGAACAGATCGATCTGAAGAAATATGTTTGCAGAATATACTTATTGAGTGAAATTAAATCTACAACATTCAGAAGGTTAATCTGTATATCATTAGAAGCTTCAGTGACCTTCATTACAATCTTCTGAGTGTATTACCTCAAGAAACTAAAATTCAGCAAGCATGCTGTTTTTCTCTAGAATCTCACTGGCCATCAGGGACTAATAGACCTGTAATTTAAATACGAGGTTGCATTTTTTTGTTAAGGCATATGGTAAACATAGTATCACATGCCTGCCAGGTTGCCTAAAAGGGGAAACACTCTCCTCTACTCTACAAAGAACAGCTGCCATATTTTGCTTCCCTCCCTCTTTCCTCTTATTTCTTGTAGTCAGTCAAGCTACAAATTTGAGGGATAGTCTTTACTCACTAGAACTTTAAAATGGATCCATGATTGGCTTTAAAAGAAAAACGTTTGTTCCCTGGGTCTACTCTGAGCTGCTAACCTCTATAATGGACTGTGACTAGGGAGATACTTAAGTGAGATAAAAGAGAAAATTAATAACACCAGGGTGAGGTTATATGTATTCACACAATTCAAACTAAGCTGGAGCACTTGGATTGGAAATCCAAGCAAACACTCCTGAGCACAGACCATGGCTGCCTATGGCTGTTAGAGATGGTGGAGCACTTATCAGTGAACATACAAACTCTGGAAGGGGTAATTACACTTTGCTTAAACCCCCTGGAAATCTGAGCAGCACCCACCTCTCTCTGCTCTGAAACATTTGTCTTCAGCTGGTGGACAATGTTCAACTTCATGCTGAAGGTGGTTGTGCTTCACTGGTGGGAGAAGTGATCCCCGTGTGCTGGATCTAACAGTGTGTGAGATGATTTGAGACCTGTTAGGGTAAAAGATGTAAAAACATGAAGGTTACATTACAGTTACTCCAAAAAAGGCCTTATGCCATAGTGAGCAGTGGGGCAGTGAATCAAGGTACATTTCAGAAGTGCATGCTGGGGTAATTCCAGGGACACAGCACTGCAGTAAAATGCCTAAACGAGAGAGAGATGGATAGAAGTGTTTTGAGCACAGCTCTGGAAAGTCAGAACTCCTCTGTGCTCACCCCACCTTAACAACAGCCAGAGCTATTTCTTCAAGGGCTTCCTCGAGGAAATGTAAGAAAAGCGATGTTCCCGTTAAAGAGAGATAATGTCATTTATCTGTCTGGCTGGTCTATTGTCACAATAAGCCAATAATTTTTGCAAGGCACATACGACGCTCTAATAAGCACTAATTAAATATTCTTCTCTGTCATCCCGTTTCCCATAGACGACAATAAAGTTTCTACACTACCCGTTTTAGTAGCTAATTAAAGCTATGACTTGCCTCTACCTGGCAGCTTAGACATATTTATATGCTAACACAGGGAGAGTTACCCCTGGATTTGCAACAGCACACAAAACCTGCTCGCAAAGCTCTTCGGCTCGGGTGACAAGAGCGGGAGCGCGGCAGCCCTCGCCATGGCACGGGCTGTGCGGGACTGGGGGGTACCGTGCCGCCGGGGGCTCCTCCCCAGCCCGCCCGGCCCGAAAAGTTTGGCAAGGAAAGTTAGTGTGTAGGCGCCGCTGCGGAGGCGCCTCCCAGGAGCGGCGGGAGCAGCGCGCAGGTGAGGTGCAGCCGCGGGGCACCCACAGGGGACGAGCGGGACTGAGAGTGGGTGGGCTTGCTGCGGGATCTCCTCCACGGCCCCGCCAGCAGCCGCTCCCCCGTCGGCACCGCCCAGCCCCCGGGCGCCGGGAGTTTTGCCGGCGGGAACGGGAACAGGAGCGGAAGGTGGCGGCGGCAGCGCGGCCGCCCCGGTGTGCTCAGCCCCGGGGGGCGGCGGTGACCGCAGGAGAGCCCCGGCCGCGTCAGCTCCGACCCTCTGGCGCGGCCGTGGCGAGGGGCTGCAGCGCCGGGACCGACCCCGGGGGGCTGCGGCTCGTCCCCCGAAGTTGCGGAGGTCGCGGAGCCCCCGCTGCGGCGCCGCGCGGGGCTGCGCTCCACGCTCCCACCAACTTTTCTGCTGATTCCTCGCACCCCCGCGCCTCCCCGCTTCGTCACACGCCGGGAATTCGTGGCACGTCTCCAAAATAAAAAAAAAAAAAAAATTAAAAAAAAAAAAAAAAAAAAGGGCTGGTTTTGCCTTGCATTTTCTAGCAGTAGAGTGGATGACTGGGGCAGGCTGCGAGTCTTGTTGGCATGCTGATAGCACCTGGGTTCACTGCAGTCCATAAGCAAGACCGAATCATTTCACCAGTTCAAAAAAAGGAAGATCTTGCTTTGACACAGTCCTTCTCCTAACCTCCCCTATTCTAAGAGTGGGAAAAAAGCCTACCTCCAATCCTGCTAGAAGACTGAGAGCCATCAAGTTGCTGTCTCGTGAGCCCTGTTTCTAACTTCCCAAAATCCAAGTGTCTTCCATATGGGACTGCTCACTGACTTCCAGCAGTGCTTCAGACAGGTAAGACCTAAGTATGTCAAACTTATCCTTGTCTGCTGAGATCCCTCAGTCCTGACTGGGAACTGTTACTAAGAATAATAATGATTTTTCCTTTTTTTAAGCGAGATGTCCAGCAGCTGTAGGGTGAAACCCATAGAACTGAATATTCTGGTGAAGTGGTGAAGTTCTGGATCCCAAAGCTTTTGGTGTCTTCTCTGTTTTCTGTAAGTAACCAAAACTTTCCATGATACCGGTGTGTTAACCTGCATACCACTTGGCATTTGTCTGTTAATAACACAAACATAAGTTTTGTTTGTTTAGAATTGCAGCTTTAAATTAACCTAGAAGTGCCTGAGGCAAGTTGCTGCAGGCATTATACCAATATGGTCTGAAGTTTAATAGGATTGATGGTTGAGGTGCAGAACCAGGTAAGTGATGTGAATGTTCTCAGAACCAATGCAGGTGCTATGGATTGTTTTCAGTCACCTAGTACGATTGCTGTGGAAAGATTTAATGGCATCAGAAATAAATATATACCTCTTTACTGAAGTGAGTCTTGTTTACATCCATTGCTTCATTAAAAGGAGGTTTTTTTTCTTTGAAAATATATTGGAAGGATAATGAGGAACTAGTGATGTTAATAGCTTAAAATGGTGAAATCAAATGCAAACCATATTTTCTTTGCCACGTTATTTTGTACAATACATTGTATGCTGTGAAGTGCATTAATAACAAAACTTAATTGCTATAACAGCATTGTGGATTGATATGTAACAAGGGAGAGGGAAGCTGAAAAATGTTAAATATGTACAAGTTGGGTAGGTGGGAAGTTACTTTGGTGATGTCAATATATGGAATTTCCTGACTGCTGTTGAAATTTTAAATTTTGAAGCTCTGTTTTTTTAAAGGGGCTTCATTGTTTCAGGATTATCAGTGGGCAAGTGAAAGATGCTCACTTTGATAAAAATAGCTCTCTCCTTTGAAAAGAAATCCCTACATATTTCATATAAAAAAAATATTTCATTATTTGTGTCTTATGGAACTCTCAATAAAATTCTCTTAACTTGATTTGCAATGTTTGTAGGTAGTAATCTTCTTTTATTGCCAGTGATAAAAGTTGTGCAGGCCAGATGGTGTCTTTCATTACACTTTGACTCAGTGTTCTTATAAGCAGCTCTTCAGGTGGAGAAGTTGTTGAGGTGTCAGCAGGACTGATGTACCAGTGAGCCTGGATGCTGCGTATCTCCCCACTGCCCTGTCTGTATCTCTCCGGTAGATTCTTATAGACAGGAATAGTTACATTATGTCCATTTTAGTTTGGTTTGGGGTAATTTTTCGTTACTTTTTTTTTTTCTTTTTTTTTGGGGGGGGTGTTGGTGAGGGGTTTTTTTGTTTGATTGGTTGGTTGCAGTTTTTTAATTTTTACAAACTTTCTCAGCAACACTGAGTTTGATTATCTCCATCTGCCTACTCACTTATACCAAATTTCTGTATAACCTTTGACTTCACCCAACCATAATACTCAGTGTAACTTGCTGGAGACAGAAAATGGCAAATATTATATGTATATTCCTAGCAACCTTTGGAATAAACCAGAACAAAAAGCAGCACTACCTGATATGAGGAACTGTGCAAGCATTGTTAAGAGCTGGAGCTGTGCCTTGTGCTAGTTGTTGCGAAGCCAGAAAGTCGAGATGTGGACAGTGGAAAGATGATCCTGAAGGATCACCTGTATGTGAAGTAGGACACAAGATAACAGATGAGAAGTGAAGAAGGAGGAGGAGTGCTGAAGTGAGAAGATATCCTTGCCTACTTCCACAGACTGGGCTAAAAAGTAGCCTGGGCCAGTGTCCAGCAGAACATTCTTCGGTGCAAAATTTTCTGCTGTGTTAACTCCAGTGGAGGTATCAGAAAATGTAGTACTTCTTGAGGTAAGGAAGGAAGGTAGGAATAAAAAAAAAAAGAAAAGAAAAAAAAAGGAAAAAAAACATCAAAATGTGCTTGAAGTTACAGTAGCTTTCTGTGTCCTTTTTCTCATTTTTCTTTCATTAATTCAGTTGTGTCTAAGGAGATACTGAGTGGGTGGGAATTTGTGGTATCCCACAGTAATATAAATGTTTTGACCATTATAAAGAGTGTCTGGGAGCTTTTTCATCTGTATTCTGCTGGTTAACCATGCCTCTTGATTGTTTTTTTTTTTTTTCAGGTGAAGGAAAAAAAGGTGAAGGGGAATTTAAAAGGAAGATTTCTAAATATTTTGAGGCAATCTAATGTTTTACTTTTATACGTTCTTGATTTTGGAACTAGGTGATGGTGAGGGTCACAGTGGCAAGGAAATCTAAAATTAGACAAACATCCTGTGACCAGATACCATTGATTTTGCGTGGTCTAGAAGGCAGCAATGGTACCTGAGAGCTGGGTGCCAGGAAAAAAAGGTGGATGATATACTGAAATGAGGAATCATGCCAAAAGCAGGAGGCGGGCTCTTCCCCCTTTTTGGGTGGCTGTGCTATTTCAATTGCTTGTGTTGGCCCTGTACAGGAATGTGCCTCTTTGAATCCAAACACAATGGGAAAAATGCAAGGATTTTATATCAGTGGAATGCGCATTCTTGAAACTCTTAATATTTGACAAATGTTAAACAATTTGGCTTCAGAAGTGAATGACAATAGACTTGTTAAATTTCTTCATTTTTACTGCAAAGAAGTCTGTGTTTGTCTTCTAGAGCACGTAGTGCTACTGTCTGCCAGATTAACAGTTTGTCCATGGCGGATAAGAATAGTATGAAGTTATCTCTCTCCAATACTCAAAAGGTTGCATGGGTCACTGTGACATTTTCTGTGAAAGCCTGAGTTGAAGCAGATGGGGCACTGGGCTCCATACACCCAAAAGAGATGGGGGTGAGGTTGGGCAAAAGCAAGAATCTAGTTCAGCATAGATGAGAGGGACACAGCATTAGTTTCCCTGTGGTAAGGGAGGGCTGTGTTAGTTTCCCTGTAGCAAGAATCCCATCCAACAGGATGGTCAAGATACCCCCCAGTGGAGTCATGTTGGCCAGGACTGGGAGCAAAGAAGGATTCACAGCTTAAGTAGGGATGCTGAACCTCTAGATATGGCTGATCCCTTTTGAAAATACTTAAGTTGAAAGTAATTGTTGTTTGCTCTTCACAGCCACAAGAAAACAATTATCTTGATTAAAGAATATTTGCAGGTATTTCCTCTTTTCCAGGATGCCTGAGAGTGTTATCCATAAGCGTTGCTTTTTAATACCAAAGGAGCAAATTTGTCAGTGTTGTGCAGCCATTTTTCAAGTTCTGATAGAAGACTCATAGGCACGACTTTTTTAAATGTCGCTATAATTTTTTCATATGTAGGTTACAAATCACTGTGCTAAATAAATTAAACTACTTATTCAAGCTGAAAAGCCTTTAAAATCTTATAAGGTAGCAGAATAGCTTCAGAGTTGAATAGCTTTGATGTATTTAGAGTCTGACTTGTGCTAAAATATGTAGTCTTAATTAAAAGTAGTGTTACTCGTGTTTAAAACTAACCTTAAAACTAACCTTAAAATTTAGCCAACATATAAAAAAAGAACACAGTTTCATATAAATTAAATTCAAATATATTAAACTAATTGCAAGCAGCATGTAAGCTCTTGATACATAGATAATTGTAGTGATGGTGGAGTGAATTGGCTTTAGAGTGTGTTCAGTAGTTTTAAAAAAAAAAAAAAAAGGCACCTGGAACTGCTGTTTCCTTTTAGGAACTTCTATCCACTCAGAACCAAAACTACATAGTAGAATAACATCTGTTTTCTTATTGTCAGGTTAAATTACTAGGAAGTGCTCCTGATTTTACTGTGCACCTGCATCATCACCTTTCAGGTCTTGTAGATGGTGCTGAATGCAACCATGATGGTGTCTGGGCAAGGTCAGCTGTATATCCTGTGCTATCATGTATCATGGATACATGTGATAGCTGCTACTGTTAAAGGAAAAAACATCAGCACTATTCCTTGGGTAAATCCTTTGGGGACTGGAATTTGATTCAACCAGTGGTTCCTGACTTCCTTGGTCAGTAAGGTCCCCATTTCTTTTCCTGGAGCAGTTTTTAGCTGGATGAGCTATTCATTCACCTATTTAGCTGGATAAACATTCACAAGAATGTTACTGAGCAGGATTGTAAGTCCTCATGGCAAGAGTGGCAAGAGCTGGGCAGTCAGGGATCATGAAAGCAAGTGACCAGAGAGAGCAACAGTGCCAGCCTACGTGTGTCAGAAATGTTTGTGGAGATGTGGTCCAAGATACTTTACTTTCAGCAGCATTCATGTGGCCTGAAAAACTTTTCTTGCCCCCCCCCCCCGCCCCCAGACACTTTTCAGAAAGAAGGGCTGAAAATATGGTAGTTTTGTGTAGTCGGAGATGGAAGAAAGTGATAAAACCAAAAAAACAGGCTTGTTTTGAGCATGCCACTGTCACTGTGTGTGTCCAGATTGCTTACTTTTCTATTATGAGAGGAACTTCTGAATCCCAAACATCTTTTTTCAAAAGAAACTGATTCTTGCTTTCTAGTGCCTCTAATTTAAATACTTTATTTCAAAAATACTTATTTAGACCCTCACATCTTATTTATTTGCTGTTTTAACACCTAATCCACATGTTGTCAATGTCCTGTTACATGAACAACACAGCTTTTGTCTAGGGCAAAACAGAAGAGGTTTGTACTTGTTGATTCTTTGACTAATGGTTTTTTAAGCATTGCTTATGCTGGGAAGCTTCTGTCTCATCAGCAGAGTGATTTCTCAAGACATGCAAACAGTGCATTTGCTGTAGCACTGAAGTTGGGTGCAAAGACCTGAGCAAACCTTGTAGCATAAAGAAGACTTCAAGTCTGAGAATGCTGAGGGCACTGTGGGAATAGAAGGTGCAACTAATAACATCTAATGAAGAACCGGTTGAAAGGAGACTCCACTACCCACACCTTTATAAAAAGCATTTCACAGAATGCCCCAAGCATTTTCTTCGGTTTTGCACAATTTTCGCTGCTTCCTTCCAATCCTGTGCATCATCTCAATAGCTGCAAACAGGTACTCGTATGTAACATGCAGGAAATTCCCTCTCTGGAGAATCAAAGCAGAAAGAGCTAGGTGGACTAAAGCACACACTCACCTTTCTTTCATGTGACAGGTTTGAACCAGTTGCTTCATGAAAACGACTTCAGATAGAACATTTACATTCTGTTAATGTCTAGCTATCTGTTGTCTACATAACAATTACATATAAAATTATTAATATTTAAACTATGGATTACGTTTTCTGCAGGCATGTTTGTGGTTAAGAGAGGTATATAGTTTAATGGCACAGAATTAGAAAAAAATCCGAAACGTTCTGAACACAGTTTTGTTGTTCTTGAAATCCTTTGTGCCTTTCTAATGTAGTAACTTTGTTCATTCAACAGCTGTTTTTAATGAGAGTTCCTGCTAAGCTTTATTTTTACTGTATTTTTAGAAACTCAGCAATTATAGATGTAGTGGTGTTGAGTTATTTAAAAATATAGACTTGTGGAACATGCAGTACTTGCATGTTTCAGCATAATAGTTAAATGCCTGAATTTTCTTTTTCTATGTATTTGGATGCACATGTACTTTAGCTCCATTTTTTAAAAAGATTTCTCTTGTAATGTCTTCCAGTAGGCAGTATTCCTTTAAAAGCTTGAGTTTTTCCTTGGATTCTTTCTGGTAGTTCATCAGACTCTTCTGTCAGATATGCACTTACAAGGGTGTCCATTATATTGAATTTTAACACTTTTTCTTTGGCTATGCAGGCCAGTTTCAACAGCCGCTCTTCAGCATCTAATAATGCGCTTTCAAAGTGAAGGCACTCTCATTCAGGTTAAGGAGTTGTCTTTTTTAGTGATCCACAGTGCCTTCTATGTTCTGATGTTATAAACTGAATTTTATGAACCCTTTGTGACAGGTGCAGGGTATCAGGTAAATTACTTTTTCTGGGCCCAATAGTGTGCAAGAAAGCAACATTTTTTTAAGTTTTTACATTTGAGCTCATTTTCCTTAAACTTAGTCACAAGAACTGAGGTCCTGACAGGTCCTTCTCCATGTTGCAAAGTAGCTGAATAAAAAGATGATCCATCAATTCCTTTTCTGCTGCATTACTGATATGGTCTTATACTGACATTACGTAACCCTGAAAGGTTTGCCTTAGATTCACATTTGAGGGTAAACTTCAGAGTACGACTCCTCGATGCATAGGCTGAACTGATGTTGAGGCACTGCAAGAGGAGTTGTTGTGTTGTGAGGGTAACTGCAGGCTCCCTTTCTCAGGGGCACATGATTATCTGGTCCAGAAGTGCTGGGTTGTCCATGACAGGGGACTGGCAGCCTCAGAGCGTGATGCAGCCACTTGAGAGGCTCCAGCTGCTTGCTGTAGCTTCTGAGCTGTGATGGCTGGCAGGCAGAGTGGTGTACTGGTTGGGTACTGGTGTGACACTTGATGATTTCGTTTGGGTCACCACCTCCTTCTGTTACAGCAGCGGGTGATGTTTGGTGTTGTGGAGTTGAAATTGTCTTTTCAGCCACTTCAAGAAACACCTCTGCTTGGAACTCATACAGGGGTAGAAAAAGCGTTGAGACTGTGAACAGAAATATAACCATTGAAAGTAATATCTTGTAAGAGTTCCAGCTTGTATATAGTATGCTGTTTACACAGTCTCTGGTGAAGAATAAAAATGGAGAACAACCTCCATCTCTTATTATTCCAGGTTGGTGTCTCTGGGGAAGATATAAAGAAGATGCAGGCATGCGGAAAACTTCAGAAGAGTGAGCCATGAGTCTTTTTGAAAGCTGAAAAGAAGACCCCTGATAGGGTCATGAACCTAAGACAAGTCTTTGTGTCTGTACTGCTGTTTGGAGTAGCTGGTCTACTCCTCTTCATGTATCTACAAGCTTGGATTGAAGAACAACATACAGGTACAGTAGGTTTTCTATCTCTTTTTTCTTTTTCTTTTTTTTTTTTTTTTAATGTATTTACATCCATTATGTAAAAGATGACTGTAAAATCTGTTGAATACCTGTGGGCAGTTGGGGTGGAGCCCCCAGTTTTGCTGTGCAATGGCATTGAAAATAGGCTTGTTTTGATTGTTACACTTCATTAAGAAATTTCTTCAGTCACATAAAAAGATGCCCCCAGTTACCTAATTGTATTGTATCAGCTTCATTTGCAAAAGAAGTGTTGCAAAAGCATTCTGTGTATGCATGAAGACAAGCAAGTCCAGTTTAGAAATAATTCTGTAAGAAGATTTGCGGTGGGTTATTTACATTATGTTCTGTGTGGCAAAGCAATTTTTGGAGAATTACTGCTAATGTCTTGTAGACAAAAGCGGCAGTGCTCATGGAATCATTCTATCCTTTTCTTTTTTGTTGCTGTTTGTTTGAGACAGTTAGATACTGGACTTACAAGAGTTTTTATATATAGCATCAGAGTCATATTGCAACTTTGGGTAAATCTGTGTTAGCATTGGCTGAGGATTACACTGCTGAATTGAATTTCTGTTCCCCATTTTGAATATTTTGGTTTGCACCAGAGGTTGATCTGGATTCTTTTATGAACAAAACTAAACCAGGCTATTTAGCTAAACCCCTACTGCATGCTCAGTTCATGTGACTCATCTAGAGTTCATCTGAAATGCGTAGGGGGTGGATGACAGTAAGGCCCTTAGCACCTACTGTTTAGCTCTGCAGATCCATTTCTGTTGTGTCATATTACTTGATGGCATCTCCTTGATGTCAGTTATATACTTGTTTTGAGGGTTGGGGTTTTGTTTTGGGTTGTGTTTTGGTTTGGTTTTGTGTTTTGTGTTGGTTTTTTTTCTCCATGCAGACTGTTTCCAGCTTGTTAAATCTTGACTTTTAGGTCCTCTTGTCTCTATTGCTCACCTTCCATTTCCTCTGTAAAAGCCTTACTTTATAGTATGTTGATACCATTGTGAAGAAATATATCTGTAAAACCACATTAGTCTTCTGGCTTTATTGATCTGTGCTGTTATTCCATATGAGCTGCTAGGCTCTGGTATGTTTTAGAGAGCAACGTTGAGGGGAGAACCTAGTGCCTCATTCCTGCAACTGTTTGATAATGACCTTGAGGTTTTTTCCAACTAAGAACAATGATCACAACATTATTTTTGTCTTGCTAATGTTTCTGGGCTGTCCCAAGGTATTTACAAGCTTGTATTAAAAAAACTGTTATAAGACGCAGTACAGGCTCCCTTTGGAAGGGTTCCCTTGTAATCAGCTGTTGACACAAAGGTGCTGGCAGAAACTGAGTGTGCAGGAGCGGGGGGGGTCTTCCTTGAATATCTCTACTGTTGTTAGGAATGCTAAGGGCATATATCCTTGCTTTCAAGGTAGTTCAGGAATGTGGATGATGACTGTAGATTATTGATTTATTTGCTTGCTGACATTCTTCACATTCCTTGCATCTTTTCTTGTGCTATAATTAACCTTTCTTTCCTTGCAGTACTCCATGTTGCTGTTTCTCACTGTTTTTTTCCACTTCTTTCTTTTGTCTATATCTCTCTCCCATTAAGAAGAAACAGGAAAAATATAATAAAGGGGGAATTAGAACATACTATGTTCTTTTGGGCAACCAGGTGCTTTCTTTGGGGTTTTCTTTGATGAATTGCTATAATCTTCTTTGGGATAGAACCTTCTCCTTGCACACGTAAGTAATTTCCATGCGGAAACATTTCTGTAATAAAATGGAAGCTATCAGGGAATAACAGAATGCTTAGTGAGCAGCTTAAAGCATGCCTGCGCTTTTGAGTGCCCTTTTATCTCACTGGACTACTGTTGTGACAGCACTTCAGCAAGATCCAAAAAAAAAAAAAACAAACAAAATTTGGCATTCTCTACTTTGTAGAGAATAGTAGTTAGGTCATATACATCGGCAAGAGCATGGCAAAAACTCGTTCTTTGGTGTCTGCTCTTGCTTCTTCTTCTTCCAATTTAACATGTAGAGAGCCATTCTTTTTTACTTTAAACACCTGTATCTCCTCTAAACCTTCTGCAACTCAATTCTCTAATGCTCCCCCCCTCATACCCCTGGCCCCATATGCTGCTAAAGAGTTGATACGAAATAAAACTTCCTTGCATTTTCACAGCATACATTAGTTTAGTTATGGGTATTTTGGAACTTTTTCCCTCTTCTGCTGTGTTTTTGATATTGCCATGTGTTATGCACTGTGGCTTTTTGAGGATGAGCTCTATCTGGAGAATCACAAATTGACAAGCATATTTGCAAGGATTTTATGTGTTCCTTTAATCCTATCACTAGTTGCGCAGCTGTAAGACAACAAGTCTTAATCTGCAAGTGGCTGAGCATGTGATTTGATGTTCTGTTAGGAAATGGAAAAGTGCACCTCGTGCTTCTCAACTGCCAGGTTGTGAGCCAGTAGAGGCAAGTGTTTGTTGCAGGCAGAACTATTTTTATCTTCCACGATGCCCTGCTCAAGAGCTACAGCATTTGTGTTTGCATCTGGTTGCTGAAGGGATGGAAAATTGAATGCTCTTGAGTTTAGGAAAGTAACTGTTTTGCGCCTGTGAACTGCTGCTGTTTGCCACCCTATTCCTCTGAATATCTGACCTGGAGCCTTTATATACCACAATCTCTGGAAAAGATAGTGAATTTTACTCAGTTGTTGTTTGTAATGTTCATACTTAATCTCTCCTAGCTGTGGCGTGAATTATTCCCAATCAGATGTAGATTTTCTGGGGAACTGGAAAATTGTATAGTAATTTTCAGTTTCCTTATTAATGTTTGTCTTACTATATTAAAGTTAGATTATTTGCTTTCACACTCACCATTCTTATTGCCAGTTTTTCTCATTATTCAAAATTTTTCATACTGACCTAAAGCCACTTTTTATTCATAGTTTGCTTTCTCTCTTTTTGTATCTTTTCTTTCTACTTGCTCTTCACATCTTTGAGATTTCAACTGTGATTTGATTCTCCTGTTTGTCTTATTTTGTTCTAGTCTGATCTTATCTAAGAATGTTTTTTTTCTGATTGACTTTTACAAACTTCCCCCATTACTCAAATGTATCCAGCCCAGGAACACCTTCTCTAATTTTTCATGCTGTCCGTCTGCTTCAGAGGCACCCACAGGCTCAGCAGCTGGATGCACCTCTCAGCACAACCATGTCTTCTGCTCCCTCCCACTGTGCTTGGACACTTTAGATTATTTCTAGTCATGTTCATTGTCCCTATATCTTTAAAAAGGGAAAATCTTTCATTTAGAGATGTCTAAGAAACAGCTGCTAGCTACGTGGTGGTCCTCTCTGATGGTTTCTCAGAGACATTAGCAGACTGAGAGAACAGGCAAGTTTCTTGGTTTGGCTCTGTGCATGGAGTGTATAAAGACAGGATGATATATCTTTACTTACATATAGTAGAGCCCTTCTGTTAGCTGTCTTCAGATCACCTCAGTGGAGTAATTGTGAACAGACTTATCAATAGTCCAACATGAGCATCAACACATACAGACTTCATCTGGATGAAAATGAAATTGGCAACACTGATAATGTAATATTTATGGAGCATTTCATGTTCTCCGTATATAAATATATTCACTTATACATAAATTCACATGCATCAACGAAGCTTGATGTGAATTCAACTAGATACTACAGATTTACTTGGCAGTTCTCCATATGGTCTTGCATTATTCAGTGCAAGCATCAAATCTTGTAGCACTGATTAAAAAGCAATTATTATTTATTACATGTTTAGTCATTTCCAGCTCTGTTAATTGTATGCAGGGGAAGCAAACTTCTGGGTCTTCCAGGGTTCATGTTGAGTTCTATAACATGAATCACCTGAATTGGGGGGTTGTGGGTTGCAAAATCCTGAAATGTTGGAAACGTGGAGTTTTAAGTTAGGGATTCTACTTCTGTACTTTAAAACTCTTCCTTTTTGGGAAGACTACTGATGGATTTAGTATGACTGATTACTAAAAAATAATCTTTGCGATCTGTATGCTGAGCATTTTTGGGGGGGGTTACTGTGTGTTGGGTTTTTTTCTCCTTAAAAGTTTGTGTAATTCCTTTTTGTGAAGTGTGCCTATTAAATTCATGATTATGAAGGACTACTTTAGTGTTTCATGGGGTGCACTATGACTACTCATTAATGTGAAGAAGTTTGCACTGCTCTCCCATAGATTTCTGGTTCCCAATGGTGAAAAAGTCTGACACTTCTCTTTCCCAGCATCTTTGTATCACACCTGAAGGGTACTGAGATTTTTCTGCGTGCTTTCTCCTCATTTTGCAGGATAGCAGTTTTGTAGTACCAGTGGGTGCCCAGATATCGTTCTGCAGTCCATGTGCTTTCTTGCAATTTTATGCATCTACCTCCAGAGGAGCTTCATCCCACAGACCTTATACCCATTCCTCAGGCCACAGGTTTTGTTTTTGTGAAGAATCAAAATTTTTAAAAATCACATTTTAAGAAAAGTTTGCAATTCCATGAATTAGCATGAGCTTTCACAAGTTAGTCTGCTATTGCTGTAGCCATCCTGGCTGAAGTTGTGTCAGAGGAGGTTTAGGTTAGATATTACTAGAACATTCTTTACCCAGAGGAACAAGCTCCCCAGGGAAGTGGTCACAGCACCAAGCCTGACAGAATTCAAGAAGCGTTTAGACAGGGCTCTCAGGCACATGGTGTGACTCTTGGGGGTGGTCCTGTGCAGGACTAGAATTTGGACTTGATGATCCTTGTGGACTTGATGATCCATCACTTCCAACTCAGCATATTCTGTGATCCTGTATACATGCTACATACTACTCAGCATAAAAAGGTGGGCTTTTTCCCCCACTTTGCCAGACTTGGAACTCCAAGGGGATCTTTTGGTTCCTCTAGTAATCTGGGGAGATATTTTTAGTCCATGGAGAGACTCTCTTCCTTATCTTGACGCTCTA